TTTAGGATGCGTAAGGTCTCCAAAAACGAGTTCCACAGAGCTTCCTCGGGAGGCTCTGCGCACGTCCTGACTGCGGGTGGGGGGGCCAGGGAAGGCGGCTCTGGGCAGCGGTCGGGCCGCTACGGGCAGCGGGTACGTGTGAGCGTTCGGAATGCAGACGGCAGGACGAGTCACACCGACGTGGGGAAGCGAGCAAGCGGGCCAACGAGTGGGGAAAACAGGAGCGTGCGAGCAAACGTAACCCCGATGCCGAAAACAAAGGATGCCGAGCTCCACCAATGAATGATACTGACGCGGCCACAAAACTGGGCGCACCAAGTAATCCAGGGACACGCGGTGCAGCCACAAACCTGCCAGGAGGAGGGCGGAAAGGCCCGCGGGTGCTCGTGGCAGGTGCCCAGGGGGCCGCACCACAGCCGGGGCCACACAGGCCGCCGCCCTTCCCGGGGCCGCGGCCGCCTTTCTCGGCCACACAAAAGTGGCAGAGGGGCGACTGCGGCCCGGGGAGGGCGGGTGTGCGTGTTCTCGGAGAGCCGGCCTTTACCTCCTGCAATTCACGGACAAAATGAAAACCGGAAAAGAACGAATATAATCAAGAAATAACAGCATAAGCAAGTTCCTTAGAAAAATACAGGAAAATCGCAGGGAAAAAAAAGAGAGGCTAAAGAAACACCGTGATCGCTTCTAGACAGTCGGGATCTGGACGATCCGTGAGGACGGACGGCACGGCGGATGGCAGTTTTTCTCACACAAACTTACGCATGTGCATAACTTAAAGACCCTATCGGTATAATCTGGCACGGTAACTGCTTGGGGCAGAAAAGTCATCTGTCATCTCAACAGACACAGGAAAACTTGGGATAACACTTAATATTCTGATTTAAAAAAAGTTCCCTTAGCAGATGGAGAAGAGAAAGGAAGACCGTAACTTGATCCAGATGATCTCTGAGAAGCCACCGACACACTGAGGCCCCTGTCACCACTCCCATCGACACTGCACTGGGAGGTGTGCAGTAACACAGGAACAGAAAGAAGAAGATGCTCCTCCCGACAGAAATGAATACGCTCTGGTACCTAGGCACGAATCTATTAAAAGATACACAACATCCATGTCCTGGTTGTTAAGCAGGCGTTACCATGGGTGGAAACCGATGAAGGATACACGCGGGATGTCCCTGGATTATTTCTCACAACCGCATGTGAATCTCTTATTTCAAAATAAAAAGTAGAAAAAAAAAAGATAAGCAGTCTTTATGAAGAAAGCTATGTAACTTTACTGCAGGACATAAGAGACCTAAGTATACGAGTGACACCCCAGGCACGTGGTGACAAGATTCAGTATCAGCAAGATTCCAATTAATCCAAATCGGTGCACTGCCTGGCCGCAAACCCAAGCTCCATTTTTGGTCAAATGTGATCAGTCACACTGACACTCACACCGAAGGAGACAGTTGTGAGCAGTCCAAGCAATTCTGAAGAACAAGGAGGTGCAGGACTCACTCTAGTCAAGGCCTGTTCTTTTTTAAAATGTGTATTTTGAGAGAAAGAGAGAGAGAGTGCATGCAGAAACACGAGCAGGGGAGGAGCAGAGAGAGGAAGAGACAGAATCCCAGGCAGGCCCCATGCTGTCAGTGCAGAGCCTGATGCGGGGTTCGATCCCGCTAACCAGGAGATCAGGACCTGAGCTGAGATCAAGAGTCAGACGCTCAACCAACCGAGCCTCCCAGGTGTCCCAGAGCCTATTCTTTTTTTTTTTTAATTTTTTTTTTTTCAACGTTTATTTATTTTTTGGGACAGAGAGAGAGAGAGCATGAATGGGGGAGGGGCAGAGAGAGAGGGAGACACAGAATCGGAAACAGGCTCCAGGCTCCGAGCCATCAGCCCAGAGCCCGACGCGGGGCTCGAACTCACGGACCGCGAGATCGTGACCTGGCTGAAGTCGGATGCTTAACCGACTGCGCCACCCAGGCGCCCCACCCAGAGCCTATTCTTAAGCTGTGCTATTTATATGAAGTTCTGGCATAAGGAGAGACAAATATACCAAAAGAATAGAAATAAAGCCAGAATCAGACCTGTTAGAAGGACATGTACACAAAAGAAGGGAAATCTCTACTCAGCGGCAGAAAGTGGACAATTCAACTTAGGAATGCTGGGATAGCTGACCACCATACAGAAACAGGCAAATTCAGCCTCTGGGTGGGGGAAGGACTTCACCACAGATTTAACGACGAGTAAGTGCGAGGTGAGCACACGTAAAAATTCTGTAGGACCAAAGAAAGCATGACATGAAGAATACAAGACTCCCTCAGATCAGACCAGAAGTGGGAGGATACACACTCAGGAGACACCCTGCATCACAGTTTTATAGACAAACTACTGAATCATCTCCTGGCGTCAGGCAGACGTGTTAAAAGTATAAAGGTAAGCAAAGGAGAGACATCCACCAACTTCAAGGCAATGGTTATCCTGTGTGGGAGATACGAGAAAGTGGTAGATGGGAAGGGGTTTCTTTAGCAGTAACTGAAATGTTTTCTTTCTTTTGTAAGGTAGATTTGAAGACAGCAAAACGTTCATGCCTATTGATTCCGGGCGGTGGGTATGCCTGTGTCAGGTATTTTCCGTAAACTTAAAACACTTCTTAGCTGAAGAAAGCAGATACGGCAAGAAAGATATGCAACAGGGGAAGCCGAGTCAGAGCCGGAAAAGACCCTGGAAGCAGGGAGGGAGGCGGCGCAAGCAGGCTCAAGGGTCAGAGCCGGGGCTGGGAGTCAGCGTCGCCCGCAGCTGACGAGTCAACGGCAGTGAGCGCACTCTGCTAACACCCGCTCACGAAGGTGCCCACGCAGATCTAGACTCCAAAACAACCACGGTGAGGAAAAGCAGGAGCGCCGCTTTTCATTTTAAGCATGTCTCGCCACTGGACGTATTATTGTGAGCATGTATCGTTCCCCCAAAAATCATTTTGTTAACAGAAGAAAGGACGAACTGCAATGCCCAAATCGGAAACTATGCACAACGGCCACACCGTCCTTAGAACAGAGTTATATACTGGGATCTAAAGCAGAGTGTTTCCGATCTCCGGAAATTTCTGGATGTTTTATTTCTGTTAAAAAAGAAATACCACACAAACCAGTGTGTGCTTTGGCGAGTATACCCACGGGAGACCAAGTGCAAGTCCGTGGAGGAGTGAACCAATTTACCCTGAAACGACGTTGTAGTTGAGAGCAGGATGGTCTCCGGAGACGGGAGGGACAAGAGGTTCCGGCTGCCACTCTTCAATCAGCTCCTCCTTTTCCTACGGGAGGAAAGGAGTTAAAATACAGCAGGGTCTAGTCACGGGACGGCGACCGTTCTGTCCCCAGATTTCTGCTACAAATCAACCAATAAATTCCTCATCTGCTTCTGCCGACGACCGCGCGGCAGAGAGCGGCAGCCCCGAGGCCACCTGCGGCCGTGGAGACGGGTGTTAGAAGCGGCCAGCGATCCCCTCGTGTGCGAGAGATTGCAGGTCTACAGAGCCCAGACCCGGGCACTGCGCCTGTGATGCCAGAAGGGAAGCTTTACAAGCACCACTGCCATGGTCACAGTTTGTGTTCTTCCCTGGCTTTCAGGGGAAGATGGCCATGGGTACCGGATCTTGCTGAGTTTGGCTTTCAGAGGACTGCCCTAAAATCACGGTTGGTCATTCTTTAAAAAAATGTCTATGTGCATGGATTGCCATGTGTAGAAATGAAAACTCAAAAGACTACGAATGATCCACCCCTTAAAAAGCCGAGCTAGAAACCAGCTGCACGGCCACCCGATCACTCCCGAGGAGTTCTGAAACGCCAAGGACCTCTGCCCTGGATGGCCCAGTCTTCCTGCAGTGCTGTCCAGAGCGTTCCCTGGCATGCTAATCCCACAGGTAGTCAGGACAAGAGGGGGGGAGGGCGGGCATCTCCGGTCAAGGTTAGCACACGTCTCCAAACACAGGTTCAAAGATCCATTGGCCTAGAAAAGGTTATGCAAAATCACGCAATGAGATCTCTCCTACTCTGCTTTAGTCAGGCCTCCAAAACGTTTTTGCCCTCAGAACAAAACGTTCCGATGGCCCGGGGACCATCTGCTGCACGTCCCCGGGGGGGACACGGCCTGACACCCCCCCCCCCCGCGATTAATATTAACGACCAGGACGACCACAGCCAGGGAGTGCAACCGGGGAAGCGATGGCCACGCTGCTGCGTTCATTCTGTTCCCCAGCACTTGTTCCTGGGACGGCTCGGTCTCCGTGCTGTACTCAGTGCTGCTGGGTGAGCCCAAGTTGTTGAGCTTTTTATAAGCATTCGGGCACGGTGCTACAGGGGCTGGGCGGGGAAACAACCTGAGCGACAGAGACCACACCACAGTCACAACCGCTCTTCCCTCTTGCACTGGGGCACAGTTCCTGAGTGCTCCTACTGAGTGACCAGGATGCACTTCCTGTTCACAAGAGCCCTCATCCCTCCGGCTCACGGAACTCCTCATGGCCTCTAGACGCTTCTGTTTCCTAAGGTTCACCCAGGTAGGCCTTGAGCTGGGCCCCGTACCAGAGAAGGCATCAAAACTGAGTTTGGGGTAGGGAGGTGGGAAGATTCTTTTCAACCCCAAATTTCCTTTAGGAAGAACACAGGGAAAACCTTCATTCAGGTTTCAGAAACTATGGTGGTTTTCCTGAGCAACTCATGTAATCCTGCACATCGACAATCGAAATCCAGAAGCTTCCCTTCTACCATCTATTCCTAAGACTGCTGCTGGCCTCTAGCCACGTGCAGAGGTCTCTGACGTGCAGAGGTCTCTGACGTGGTATTCCTCTCGGTCTTGACTTTATTCCTGGCTTCCCTGTATTTTGGTACCCTGAGGTTTCATGGTCTTTGATTTGTTTACATAACAGAAAACATTTTAACATACCTAGTTCAGTCGCCACAAGTACTTTTTGGAAAGATGTAGCCACTATAATCATACAGTGAATAATAAAAGAAATTTAATTTCTTACCTTGACTGTAAGATCAGATCGTTCTTGTAACTTGTAAGTTTTAGAGAAGAGAAGTCTGATTATCCAGAGAATTAGAATTCCTTCCAAAATAAGATGGTAAGCAGGAGCCTAAGAGTGAGTCAAAAACCAAAAAAGAAATGAAGTGAACCCTTCCAAAATCTGCACATAAAATGTAATGCACCTGTATGTATTGTCTCCCATGACCTATTATTTCTTAAGATTTATTTTCAAACTCCTTTCATTTCCACTCATTCCTTTCCCCATTTCTTTCTTTTTTTTAATCTTTTATTTTATTTTTTAAGACCGAGAGAGAGTGTGAGTAGGGGAGGGGCAGAGAGAGAAGGAAACACAGAATCCGAAGCAGGCTCCGGGCTCCGAGCTGTCAGCACAGAGCCTGATGTGGGGCTCAAACCCACAAACTGTGAGATCGTGACCTGAGCCGAAGTCAGACGCTCAACCGACTGAGCCACCCAGGCACCCCATCCCCACTTCTAACAGTTGGTAATTTCTCCTTCACGTGATAAATCTTTAATAGGGCAGCTTTAAAACCTCTGTAGGAAAGGAATTTAATTTTTAAAATAAAAGCTTATGCGGAATCCCAACAGGTCAAACAATATCAACTATCAGATCCGTCAGACGAGGTGCCTTCCTATTGGTGGGAAAGGACAGTAATGAATGCTGCATAGCTTCACCCGTCTGCTGCCACCCTCATCTACCCCAGATCAGTCAAAAGAGTTACGTGGAAACCAGTTTCCACTATTTTTAGAGTTTTGCACATCTCACTCTATTCTATCTGATAAGCCTCTAATAAGCCTCCTTAAATCCTTCTGGGAACATGGCTGGGGAAAAAAACAAACAAAAAAAAAGACTGTATAAATGACTAAAGGAACGTCAGGTCTTTTTTCTGCAGTAGTTCCCCACAAGTATGCAGTGTGTTTCATGTCAACAGGCATATAGACACCTTACTGCAATTATCCATGCCACGTCTTCAAGTGCACATTTCCAAGACGTACAGCTGACTTTTACGTTTTGCACAACTGGACACGGTAAGTACATGCGGAAGACTCCAGATAGCAACTAAACCTCAGTCAGTTACAGAGTGATCTACTCCAACAGGCCGTCATTGGAAAAATCACTTAAAAGAGACAGTCAGAAATGTAAATACAAACTATTTTGAAACATCAGACAGAAAGAAAGTGAAGATGATTTACCATAGTTTAAAAAAATTCAGAATATGGCAACAGGAAAGCTGCAAATTCAGAGATGAACTCCTAAGTCAATGTGCAAATATCTTTCTGACTACGTACAAAGGTCACATACACTATTACTTCTTTGTTTTGCTTTTCTCAATAATTATATTCCAGTAGGCAAACATCTGCTAAATCACGAAGCATCCCACTCCAGAAAGAAACCATCCTAAGAAAAACTGAGATACCAATCGTCTAGTGAATTAATCAAAATCACAAATGCAGCTTCTTTTCCTGGAAATGTTACATCCAAGAGGACACCCGAGTCTTGGTCAGTTACGCACCCTTCAAAAAAGAAGCAACAACATACAACAGAAAATTATTCAGTTTTTAAAAAATTCAATTTCAGTGGCTCTTCTCTTAGTTACTGTAATTAGCTTAGGATCAGCCATCACTTACACCACACCTGTTCTGTCAACTGTTTTTCAGGAAGCCCTGGAAAGTTCTTTAGTGGAAGACACCATGGTCTCGCCTGGCAGTAGGCAGCTATGTTAAGCTTTTAACAAATCATCAAAAGAAAATTGGTATTTGCTTTAAACAAATACGAGCTCTATAAGCACAGGAATTTTTGCATGTTTGTTCACTGCACTATCCCTAGTGTCTAGATGTGTGCTGTCCCAATACCTTGGCCTCTAGTCACCACGTAACTATGTAAATATACATCTAAATGAAATGAAATGAAATACTTAGTTCCTCACTTGCACTAGACACATTCCAAATGCCTAACTGCCACCTGTGGTTAGTGGCTGCGACACCGAATAGCTCAGATACACAACATGCAGAAAGTTCTACCGGACGGGGTATCGAAGCTCAGTAAACACATGTCAAGTGAAGGAACATTCTCTAAGACTTAAGTTCTGCTATCATAGCTATCACCTGACACACGTGAAACAGACAGCCTTTCAAAGCACTCGTAATTATTCCGCCTTTAAAAATCTCTAAAAAGTGTTCTACCTTTACAAGACAGAAAATGAGACGCATGTGGAAGAATGACAAACTATTTCATATTCCTAATTCCTAAATCATTCGGCTTCCCTAAACCCTCGCCCCGACAAAAACGAACTCCTTTCTACTGCAATTCGTTCCCCTATTACCTGATCCACAGTCCCGAGGACTTGAAACCCCTAGGACCTTCCCGGGCTGAGATCTTCCACTCCATTTTCACCACCCTGCTTCACCATCAGTCCCAACTCTGGTTTCTGAGGACCAGCCTCGCTCCAGCGCCCCCTCCCACCTGTTCCTTTCCCGTGCCCGGACGGAGACCCTCGGTTCCCGCTCCCGCCCGTGCCTCCCCCGCGAGCCTCTCCAGCGAGGGACGACGAAGGTCCGGGCGTGACCCAGCCAACCCTGCCCGGGACTCAGACCACAAACCCACAGGAGCCGTCCCACCCCTCCAGGGCCGGGTGTGGTCCTGGGCCGCTCGGGCCGCCAAGCTCACCTCGTAGAGCGCCTGGACCATCTCCACCAGTACCCACTGCTCCGCGGCGGTCGCCATAGTCAGCCGCTGGGGCCTCCTTCCGGAAGGCGGGTCTCAGGTACGTCAAACAGAGCGCGGCGCAGCTCAGTGACGTTTCGCTCCTGGGGGCGGGGCTGGCGAGCGCTGGGCACGCCTCCTGGCGCTTGCGCACTGGAGGAAAGCGAGCGGTAGGGGCTTAAGGGGGTGGGTGGAGACCTTGGGGTCTCGCCTGGAGGCCTAGAGGGGTCGGAACTGCGGGATGGCTTTTGTGACAGGTGTTCCCCTGTGGCTGTGAGGTGGCACACCCCGTGCCGGGGTTCTCGGGAGGGAGGGACTAATAATAAATGGCCTTGCCCTGGGCAGGCAGTGTTAGGCAATCACAGAAGTCCTCTTATAAATTACACAAGTAACCCAGGAATGCATTATTATATATTTACAGAAATATAAATGCAAATGGCCACCTCTAACACAGCCCTTACCATGTGTCCTGCATAGACGAAACGCTTGGCGTGTATTAAGCCCTACAGCAGTTTGGTGTGAAATCTAGAACCTTCGTAGGCACCTGCAAACATGGTGTGCGTATACGTACTTGGTTTGGATTTCTTAAATGTAACTGGGACCCTGGGGACAATATTGATCTACAGCTTGGTTTTGCTTTTTTTCTCTTCTTTTTTTCTTGTAATGTTTTTTCCATGTGTCTATACATCTTATATTGTTAATGAAGAAGACTATTTCTTGGAATAACGTGTTGTATATACATATTTCTTGTTCCATTTTATTTAAATATTTTCCTGTTGGTAAACACTTAGGTTGTTTTCCACTTTTCCCTCTGTCACCAACAATGCTGCAGTCTACATCTTCCTGTTTCTGTGGGAATATTCCTGAAGCGCTTTCTCAAAGTGGAATTTTAGAGTGCGCAACAGTATTAGCTCTGGTAACTACCACCAAGCTGTTGTCCAGGATGGCTCAACCAATTTAAACTGTTTCCAAGTGTAGTCACACTCTAGCTCATGATGGCTATAATCAATCGTTTTAAAACTTTTGCCAATTTAATGGAGATAAAATGGTACCTCACTGAATTTTATTGTTTATGCTTCTGGTTATTCATGAGGTTGAACAACTTTTTATTGACATTTGTAGCCTCTCAGTCACCAATTCATATTCTTTGCCCACTTTTTTTATAGGTTATCTTTCATGTTCTTACGGATTTACAAGAGCTCTTTCTACATTCTGAGTATCTTCTATCTTCCTCTTTCATATGTGACATTTTTGCCCCGCTTCTTTCCAGCTGTTTGTTGTCCTCTGTCACAGCTACATTTTAGGTTGTATGTAATGTGGCAGTCTGTTCCTTTATTGCCTCTGGATTTGGATCTCGCTTAGAAGGGCCATCTCCACCACACCTACGCTTTCCTCCCATGCTTGCGTCCGTTTGTTGTTGTTGACAGTTAGCTCTTTGATTCCTCTGGAAATTGTATTTTTGTATGACGAGAGGTACGGGTCTTGTAATTATTCTTTCCTAAAGGAATAACAGATTTCCCCAAGGCCACTTATTTGAGTAATCCTGACTCTCCCCAATACCGTGAGCTGGCACCAGCCCCGTGCACTACATTTCCACGTGGAATGGGCACTACGTGCCTGATGATGGAGGTGCTCTGCCAACATCCCCTGGGACCCAGTACTGTACATGTGCCCGCTGCCTCCGCAGGGGCTTTTATTCCCAACAGCCGGCACCTGCACCCTCAGGCTACCGAAACCCTGCTGACGTGTGGAGGTCCTCCTGTTTCCTGCTCTCATGGAAAACTGGAAGGATCCAGGCACGTAGATTTTCCCAGGCAGCCAGCCCTTAACTGGGTAGATGATTCGCGGTGGCTGGGATGTACACGTTGCAGCTTCCTTGTCCCCTGTAGCAAGGTAATGCTGAGCGCTGAGCGGTCGACTTCACCGTCTCCGCTGGACTGAGTTGGTAGTGCCATCTGCAAATTCTTGGATACACCCATTAAGAGGGAGAGTCTACGATTCCTCCCGTGAGGCTGGGCAGATCTTTGTGGTGGCTTCCACAGTAGGATTCCGCTGGCATGCAGAGAGATCGCGTGGGGACCACATAGAGATAGAAAGAGACGGCCGAGGGGCCCCGAACTTCTCCCACCCCCTCGGTTGCAAGCCGCTGCTTTGGGAGCGTTTCTTATGTGGGAGTTAGCTGCTACAACAGGAAGAATCCTTCCCCGTCTCGCCCGGCTTCTGTGGCTCTCCCTTAGCTCATGGCTGCATAACCACAATCTGCCTCTGTCTTCACATGGCCTTCTCTTCTCCGTCTGTCCTCTATGTGCCTGGTAACAGATATCTGTCATTGGACTAAGGACCAACCGTGATGACCCACGATGATCTCATCTCAAGGGCCTTAACGTAGTCACATCTGCAAGGAAACTTTTTCTAAATAAGGCCATACTCACAGGTCCCAGGATTTAGGGTGTGGACATGTCTTTTTCGGGGTGGGGGGGGCACCACTCAACCCACTATAGTCTAACCTCTGGCCACCCAATTCACGTCTGTCCCACATGCAAAATACATTCATCCCATCCAACGGTTTCAAAACCTTAACCCGCATTTACATATCACGAGCTCAGAAAGTCCCAAATATCATCATCTTAATCATCAGAATCAGAGACGGGTGAGCGCCGGCCCGATGCATCCAGGGACAACGTTCTCGATGTATTGGCCGATGAAACTAGAAGATCACGTACAAAATGCAGTGGTGAGACAGGTATGGGATAGGTATTCCCATTCCAAAAGGGAGAAAACGGAAGGAGCCAAGAGGTCACCAGTCCCAAGCAGGTTAAGAACGCTGCAGCAGAACCAGTTACATTTGGTTTCAAGGTCTGAGAACGGTCTCCGTGGCTTGAAGCTGCACCGTCTGGGCCCGCAGCTCCGGCCTCCGTGCCCCGGCAGCTCGCTGAGCCTCTGCTCCCACCCCTCCTACCTCCAGCTTCACGGCTCTGCCCCCAGAGTCATTCTTGCTTTCTCTGAAAGGGCAGCATAGAACTGAGTGGCTCGATCAGCCCACTTTCCGGCTACAGAATTCTGGAAATCTGACAGCCCTCTTTTACTTTGTCCCGTCTCTGTCCCTCAGGCCAAGCTGGCGGTGTCCCGCTGACACAACGTTCTCAAAAACTTTGTGGGTCTCCCAGGTCTGTCATGAGGATTCATGCCAGTAGGCAAGAGGGTCCCCCACAGATCCTTCTGGCACACCCCACGTCTGTTCCTGGCTCTGCTGAGGTGATTGAGTGGATCCGTGAGTCCCCTGCTTACCTCTTCAGCAAAAGGTTGTCCAGCCTCATCCCTGGCCCTCTCTCTTGAGCACACTTCCCCAACAGGAAAGCTACTCTTGGGGCGCCTGGGTGGCTCAGTTGGTTAAGTGTCCAACTTTGGCTCAGGTTACGATCTCGCGGTTCATGCGTTCGAGCCCCGCGTCAGGCTCTGTGTTGACGGTTCGGAGCCTGGAACCTGCTCCGGATTCTGTGTCTCCCTCTCTCTCTGCCCCTCCCCTGCTCGCACTCTGTCTCTCTCTCTCTCTCCCCCCCTCTCAAAAATAAATAAACATTAAAAAAAATTGAAAGATAGACAAAAAACAGTGAAGCAACTCATTTTTCATCCTTTGCAATGTGGATAAGCCAAGAATCTCCTGAATCATCAGGCACTGGTTTTGTTTTTGCCTAACGGTGCCTTCCTCGACTTCCCTCTTTCCTCTCCCATTTTCTTACAATCAGCAAGGAGGGACCAGTCCGCACCTTCAACGCTTTGCTGAGAAATCTCCGCTAATTGTTCAGGTGCGTCACTTACAAGGTCTGCTTTCCACACGACTACAGGACACGAGTCAGCCAAGTTCTTTGCCGGCCTACCGCGAGGAGAGGCTCACCTTTCCTCCAGCTTCCAATACCATGCTCGTCATTTCCTTCTGAGACTTCAGCAGACGTGCCCGTAACGTCCGTGTTTACCACCATTCTGCTAATGACGAGCTACGCCTTCTTGGAGGTGACAGAATCCTCCTCTCCCCACGCTCTTCATTTCCTTCGGAGCCCTCACCCGATCGCCTTTAAAGTCTCTATTTTTACTAATAGTCTCTTCAGGGGAGTCTAGGCTGTATCTCTCATGCAGCTCAAAATTCTTCCAACTTCTACCCTCGCCTAATTCCAAAGCCACGTCCACACTTGGAGGTATTTGGCACAGCAACACTCGGCTTCCCAGGACCAAAATCTGTATTAGTTTTCTAGGGCGGCCGTAACAGATTACCATAAACTGGGCTGCTTAAAACGAGAGAAACGTATTCTCTTACAGTCCTGGAGGTCAGAAGTGCAAAGTCAAGGGTCTGTAGGACTGCACTCCCTCAGAAAGCTCTAGGGGAGAATCCTTCCTTGCTCTTGCTAGTTCTGGTGGCTCCCTGTGTCCCTTGGCTGGTGGCTGCTTTGCTCCGGTCTCTGCCTCCACTTTCACGTGACCTTCTCCTCTTTCCACGTGTCTCCTCCGTGCTTCTTATAAGGACACTTGCCATTGGGTTTAGGGCCCATCTGGATAATCCAGGACGATCTCGTCTTGGGATCCTTAATTACACAACCACCACCCTTCCTTCCTGATTCGGCTACCAAATCAGTATTGCATAATATTATATAATCATTGTATAATATTGTATACGATATTGTGTAATAGAGTTGTATACCCAATATCATATAGCTGTATAATCTAGTATGTACCTATGCACATAGTATCATGTAAGTGCCTAACATTAAGCTTTTGATTGCTGAGGCGTCCATTTCAAAAGACACCCATTCCAGGGGCGCCTGAGTGGCTCAGTCAGTGGAGTGTCTGACTTTGGATTTCGGCTCAGGTCCTGATCTGTTTGTGGGATCAAGCCCTGCGTTGGGGTCTGTGCTGACAGCATGGAGCCTGCTTGGGGTTCTCTCTCTTTCTCTCTCTCTGCTCCCCACCCCTGTCCTCTCTCTCTCTACTTGTGATCTCTACCCTTCCTGACCTGTGAGTAATAAATC